TATGAACTCTCAAATTTGTTCTTATTTTCATTATTGCTTTGATTACTTATAGCTATGGGTTAATTTTAAAAACAAATTTATAAAATTTTGCAAATTATTTTTTCCTCAATGTTACTATCCTTTCTTATTTCTCTACATTTTTATGCTGTATTGTTGGCACTTTCTTGTAGGTCACAAGGCTCTATTATGAATTTCAGTTGTAGTTTTTTTTTAAATTTTTTATCAGCATGGATAATTTCTCTTGTCCTGCTTCAAACTTACTGTTCATTTTTGGCTACATTATGCAATCCATGAAGCCCATCCAGTGATTTTTAAAAAAATATTTTTTAATTCTTTAATTTTCATTTTTTTATAAAGACTCTTCAGTTTTCCACTCATGTTTTTTTTTAAATATAAGTATCTTTATATAGTTGTATTGAAATTACTGTTTATTAACTTAAAACTGGATTTATTTTCACAAACTACAACCTTACTGAAGGCTAGAGTTATATTTTCCTGATTCTTCCCAATATTTTCCTAACTATTGATTGTATGCTAGGCATTTCCTAATTTTCAATTAACAATTGCATGGTGAGGCAATTGGAACGCTACATTATTGACAGTTAGCATTCTGCTATCCTTTGGGTGTTGAGTGATTTTCAATTTTTTTAGTAGGCATATTATTTACTGACAAATCAGTCTGATCTAGTTGAATCTTTTTTTTTTTAAAGAAACTATTAGAATGGGACTACTAGTTCTTAATCTAGGGCTAGTATAGACTTATTCCTAATATCCATCTTTCTGATTTGTTTGTTGAATGTCTGGGATGTTTTGTGAGCTTTCTCCTTTCTTATTAGTTGGAATTTCTCAGTTTCCAAGTATCATGCAACCTCTCAAGTCTACATTTATTGGACATCTCCCTGTGGGCCTTTGAAATCTACTTAATCATGAGTTGCTTGGGACTCAATAAATATCTAAGTGGAACTTCAGTACAGATGTCTGTAGCTCCTAATCTGCTATCCTGCTTCTTCCCATGCTGTGCTCTGAAGCCTCAGCATCATCGACCTCTGATATGATCCTTCTTTTTCCTTTACTTTCCTTTTTTTTTCCCTTCCTCCATCCCTCCCTTCCTGGCTTCTTTCTCTTTCTCTGGTTCTTCCTTCCACACTTCCTCTTTTTCTAACTCAGAAGGACTACAGTTGCTTTTTTGGATTCTATGACTCCAGGCTAATAGCCACTTGAATCTTGAGGCTCACTCTTAAATCCTGTCTGTTCAGTCCTTTCTGAGAACATCGGTCTCATGTGTATTTTGTTTGTGTCCTAGTTCCTTAGGTTAGCAGGATCAGTTAGGTACCCTTCATGATGAAATAAAAACATTCATTTCTTTTTAAAAAAATATTTATTTTTCAGTTTTTGGTGGACACCACATCTATATTTTATTTGTATGTGGTGCTGAGGATCGAACCCTATGCCCCGCACATGCCAGGCGAGCACGTTACCGCTTGAGCCACATCCCCAGGCCCATTTCTTTTGAAGTATATGTTTTTGAATGTTTAATTCTGGGGTCTTCCAAATATTTGAAACCACTTTTTTGGTTGACATTAATTTTTTTTAATTTTTTCAGATATCACAGGTATATTTTCATTGAATGTCACTGAATCTGAATTTCCTGATTCTGATTACATTTTATCAAACTGAAAGAAAAAAATAATCAAGTCACCAATTATATAATAAAATATTAAACAATGTAAGT